TTTGTTTTCTGTGGGGATTTTATTTAAAGTTTATCTTTAACTGTGAAACTGTTCTGTTGTTCTGCTTCAGTGGAGCCTCTCAGTTCTGTTTTCACTCATTTCAGGCTAAAAGTTACATTTGTACTGAAAAAAGTATTTCATTTCCTATTATTATTCTAGATAACATTACATATATTTAAATGTATGTTGACTTTCTTATATATTTTTTGGAAGTAATGAAGTCCAAGATTACTGGTGTGAGGTCCACCACCTGAAAATGTTTTTGCTTTACCTGGAATGTTCCATAGAACAATTTCAACACTTTCATCTTCCGTTTACATCAATACATGTGTTTGTACTGACAATTAAATACTGGTTTGATGGAGTCACTTTTTGTTATTTTCTGGATAATTCCATGGAGAAAAACTTGTGTGTGTGTTTGTGTGTGTGTTCACAGTGGGGCGAGTGGAGCCCAGCCTCTGGGTGCTGCCCCCCTCCAGAGAGGAGCTGGCCCAGGGGAAGGCCACCCTCGTGTGCCTGGCCAACAAGGGCTTCCCGTCAGACTGGAGCGTGTCCTGGAAGGTGTCCGGTGGCGGTGCGGGCGGGGAGCAGAGCCGGAGCCCCGCGGTGCCGCAAAAGGACGGCCACTACAGCTGGAGCAGCAGCCTGACGCTCCCCGCACAGCAGTGGAGGGAGGGGGGCGTGGCTGTGAGCTGTGAGGCCAGCCAGGGCTCCCAGAGTCCAGTGTCCCACACACTGAGCACACTGCAGTGTTCCCACCACTGACACAGTCACTGGGATCAGCCTGCAGAGCGCCCTCTGCTGTCAGCTCACGCCTCTACAGCTACAGCTCCACTTCACTTACTGCAGCACAGCACACAGGCCTCTGTCCCAACTGGAGCTTCTGCTCCAAATAAAGAGCTGTGCATCAAAAGCATCTTTGTGTGTGGAGCTGCTGAGACACACACTTCAATAAAGACTCTCTGCACTCACATGTGACTACGCCTCATCTTTCTCTTTTGTCCTGTTTTATTTTCTTTTTTATAAATACGTATATAAATAGATACGTAATATTATATAATATTATATAATAACATGTCCTGAGATTTTGACCCAAACTCACAAATTAAAAAAAAAAAAAGCCAATGGACCCTGCAGCTGTCCCAGTGGACCATGTGTCCCAGTGGACCATGTGTCCCAGTGGACCATGTGTCCCAGTGGACCATGTGTCCCAGTGGACCATGTGTCTCATTGGACCTGCAGCTGTTCATTGACATTTACATGAGAAGTTGAGGAACAGACCAGAGGAGTGTCATGAGGAAACTCTGGAATGGTGCATGACATAGACAGTAGAATTAAAGTAGTAGTAGTAGTAGTAGTAGTAGTAGCAGCAGTAGCAGGAGTAGTAGCAGTAATAGTAGTAGTAGTAGTAGTAGTAGTAGTAGTAGTAGTACCAGCAGTAGTAGTAGTAGTAGTAGTAGTAGTAGTAGCAGCAGTAGCAGCAGTAGTAGTAAAACAAATAGCTAAGTCTAGTAGTACTACAAGCAGTAATAGAAATACCAGCATTTGTAAAGTAGTAGTGTAGTGTAGTGTAGTGTAGTATTTGGATTTTGTAGTGGTCTTGTTAGCAATAGTTATGGAAGTAGTAGTACAGTTGTAGTAGTAGTAATGGTGGTGGTAGTAGCAGTAGTAGTAAATGGTAATGGTCACATTTTTCTATAGCGCTTTTCCACCTTCAAGGCACTCAAAGCACTTTACAACAAGGAACCATTCACCCATTCACACACCAGTGTACACAGACACTGTGGGCAAGGTGGGTTAAGTGTCTTGCCCAAGGACACAACAACAGCATTCATCTGTGGGAGCTGGAATCACACCAGCCAACCTGTGGGTCAGTGGATCTGACCACTCAACCTGTGATGTTTATGTCAAGAGCTGGAATCAAACCACCAACCTTCAGATCAGTGGGCGAATGCTCTACCAACTGAGCTACTGCCGCCCCAGTAGTAGTAGTAGTAGTAGTAGTAGTAGTAGTAGTAGTAGTAGTAGTAGTAGTAGTAGTAGTAGTAGTAGTAGTAGTAGTAGTAGTAGTAGTAGTAGTAGTAGTAGTAGTAGTAGTAGTAGTAGTAGTAGCAGTAGTAGTAGTAGTAGTAGTAGTAGTAGTAGTAGTAGTAGTAGTAGTAGTAGTAGTAGTAGTAGTAGTAGTAGTAGTAGTAGTAGTAGTAGTAGTAGTAGTAGTAGTAGTAGTAGTAGTAGTAGTAGTAGTAGCAGTAGTAGTAGTAGTAGTAGTAGTAGTAGCAGTAGTAGTAGTAGTAGTAGTAGCAGTAGTAGTAGTAGTAGTAGCAGCAGTAGTAGTAGTAGTAGTAGTAGAAGTATACTTAAAACATCACGAGGACAGTATCAGGTGTTTGGATTTCAGTTTTATTTCCATTGGACAAAAAGTTCAGTGAAAAATAAATAACTTGAGTTTTCCGTGAGCTGAACAAGTGCAGTGAGTTTTTCCTCCACTGCTTCAGAAATCACAAGAACCATGTTTGGAGCGACATCAGTCAGTGTGGCAGTCACTTCTTTCAAATTCTACAACACTGAAAAAAACAACACTGGTAAGTGAACACATGTAATCAACTCTGTAACAAGAAAATATGAGGAAAAACAAACCAAACATGCACTGTTCATTTTTACATCTTCTTCTATTTCTGACGCAAAATGACGGGTGAATTTGAATGAGGAATGTGTGATTAAAAAAAAAAAAAAAAAAAAAAAAAGCACTGAAGGTTTATGCCATTTAAGAAAATACGGGTGGATGTATGTTTAATTTAACTTTTTAATACAACTACATTTTCTGTACAGTACTTTTCTGGCACTTTAACTCCTACATACGGAATATATAGTACAATGTAACAGTACTTTTACTCGAGTAATATATAGTACAGCATAACAGTACTCTTACTTGAGTAAAAGTTGTGGTTCCTCTTCCCACTGTGAGTAAATAAGTTTTTTTTGTTTTTTTTATTTAGTTTGTCTCATTTTTGTGTCTCTCTGACAATTATTTTCACAATATCACATTTAACATTATTTCCTCATTCAAACTCACCGTAAACAAAAATAAATCTCAACTGTAATGAACTTTATATATATATGTGTGTGTGTGTGTGTGTGTGTGTGTGTGTGTGTGTGTGTAGTGTGTGTGTGTGTGTGTGTGTGTGTGTGTGTGTGTGTGTGTGTGTGTGTGTGTGTGTGTGTATCTGGTGAAGTGAATGAGACTAGGTCAGGGGCTTCAGCTTGTGAGTTTCTTTTAAAATGACCAAGTCAAAATGATCGACCTGTTACAAAGCCAAACAAACTGTTCTGAACTGAGACACTCTGAGTCTTTCCTTTACATTCTCTTACTTGTTTTGCAGTGGGATTTTCCAGCCTCTGCACATTTATCAAACCAAACGCACATGGTGACAAACACAGATGCATCTGTGCACTTTTATTAAGCAAACTTCAGCCACATGTCATGTTAGGTCTGTTCTGTGCTGTAGGCTCCTCTGTGCCAACACTGTAACATACATTTAGATTTGTTTTTGCTTCGCATTTCATCTTGCTCTTCTCATCGGCGCAGAAAAGATGGAGCCTGTGTGCTGTATGTGGGGAGGAGTGAGAGCATGAAAAGGCGAGGAGCGAGGCGCTAGCATGACAAATACTACGACACTATGATCTACCCACACGACCTTGGCAATCGACTGGTAGATCGTGATCGATGTATTGGACACCCCTTATTTTTTCTCCTCTGATCTGCATCAGTCTCATGATTGACCTCGAGTGCCTTCGTTTGATGGAAATCCATCACAGGACAGAAAACTTTAATCAATGTGAATGAAAGTAAATATTTTATTGTCAGATCAATACTAGTCTGATCAGGAAATGTGGTGTACACCAGTTTGAGATAAAATACTGACTCAATAAGTCTGAATTTTCAATTTTCAGTTGGTGTCATGTGTTTTCTACATAAACACACGATGAAGGAAGCACCGCCACAGCTCAGTTCAGTTTCACTTCAGTCTGAGAAGGTTTTTGTACGAGTCTTTTTCACTGTGTGAACACATTCTGACTGTTGATGTAGTGAACACTCTGACAGTAATACACAGCAGAGTCTTCAGGCTGAACTCCACTGATGGTCAGAGTGAAGTGAGACCCAGAACCACTGCCTGAAAAACGACTGGGGACACCTGAGGTTCGATTAGAAATTCTATATATAAGAGCTTTAGGAGGCTCTCCATCTCTGTGTTGGTACCAGGACAGAACGTAGATGTCTCCCTTAAACTTGTACAGATCCTGACTGAGATTACAGTCTATGTTGACGGTGTCCCCCAGGGCGGCCCTCACTGCTCCAGCCTGACTCACTGTCACCTGTCCTCTGGACTCTGAACACACAAACACAAAGCACCTGATGGTTTAGTCTGGTTGGTCTCAGAGGGACGGATGTGGACAGAGGACAGCAGTGGGACTCTCTGGACTTTACCTGTGAAGCAGCAGCAGAGGACAGTCCACATGAGGACGCACACCAAAGTCATGTTGGTGATGAGGAGGCCGTATGTGGCTTGTGTTGTCATGAAGGACAGCTGCCAGTGCTCCAGAGTGCACCTCTCAGGACTATAAAGTGTCCCACTGGACCATGCAGCTGTTCATGCAAAGTGTTTGTCTATGGAAATGAGGCTCCCACACAGACATGGAGCACACTGAACAGCTGCAGGGGCTGTGTCAGCAGAATTAGACCCATATTGGTTCCTGGTGTATTTTAAAATTTAATGCAGAATTGTAAAAGGTCTGTCTTTTTTTAAATTTGATGCTGATATTTGATATATTGATATTTACTTGGTTAGTATCTTGAAGCATTTGATTTTAAATCATTTCATCAATTCATGAATCAATTCATAAAATATTGTCACTTTTCTTTATTTTACTTTTTATTAAGAAAAAAAAACTAAGTCCACCTCTTTCTGAATAAAAACATTGTCATCTCCTTGTGAACAGTGTTTTTCAGTTTAAATGTGTAAATGTGAGCTGTTTGTCAGTTGTTTATCAGTCTCTGTACAGCTGAATGGTTTTGTGGTGTTCTCTGAGCGGCTGCAGGTTTTTGTACGACCACTCCATGAGTTTGTATCACTGTGGTGGACGTTCGGTGGAGGAACCAGACTGGAGCTCAACTGTAAGTCATCTCTTTATGTTCACTTTAAATGACACTTTGGTTTAGTTTGTGGTTCATCTGTTTCTATTTCTGAAGCCTGACATCATTTGATTTTTTTCTGTTTTATTCTAAATACTGTTTGGAGTTCTGGGTGAGCAGTGTCTTCTTATCATCCCCACAGTCACTCACCTCAATTTATACAGAAATATTTTATTCACAATCAGACTTTTTGAATTTTATAATTTTAGTATTTTAATATGGCATTCTGGATTTTAATTACATTTGTAAATATATATTTTTTTAATCTAACTGATATAAGTAAAGGTTTAAAATTGTATATCATAATTGAACATAATTGTATTTATTTGTTAATGTTGATATTTTAAAAAAGAAAAAAAGAATGTAAAGAAGAATATAAAAATATTTTCTTTATGACCAACCTAAACTTCAACTTTTTAGTTTATCTTTAGCTCTGAAACTGTTCTGTTGTTCAGCTTCAGTGGAGCCTCTCAGTTCTGTTTTCACTCAGTTCAGGCTAAAAGTGACTTTTGCTGTGAGAGAAAAAAAAAAAAAAAGTACTAATTAGTATTTAGTAGTATTGTAAGTATTTTGACTTGCATTTAAGTTTTTTTTTGGAAAATAATTAGAGTCCGAGATTGACTGGTGTGAGGTTCACCACCTGAATACTGTGAAGATGTTATTTGGAATGTTCCACAGAATTATGAATGTTATTATTATAACGTTCCACAGATTTTAATTTAATGCCAACAAATATTACCTTTTGTTTTTATCTGGATAATTCCATGGGGAAAAAAATGTACATATTCTAAAAAAGATTCAAAAGGAGCGTTTCATGGATCAGTGGTCTTCTTTGGGGAAGAGACGTCAGTTTTCCTTGAGGAAAACCATAGACTTTGGAAGTTGTCCATTAAGATCTGCAGTAAATTAATAAAGGCATTTTATTGTAACCAGTGAATGCCTTGGGTTCCTTACATCTTTAAAACTTACATATTGTCAACCAATTATGATGAAAAATCTGCCCTTCACAGTGTGTGTAAGTGTGTGTTTGTGTGTGTGTCCACAGTGGGCCGAGTGGAGCCCAGCCTCTGGGTGCTGCCCCCCTCCAGAGAGGAGCTGGCCCAGGGGAAGGCCACCCTCGTGTGCCTGGCCAACAAGGGCTTCCCGTCAGACTGGAGCGTGTCCTGGAAGGTGTCCGGTGGCGGTGCGGGCGGGGAGCAGAGCCGGAGCCCCGCGGTGCCGCAAAAGGACGGCCACTACAGCTGGAGCAGCAGCCTGACGCTCCCCGCACAGCAGTGGAGGGAGGGGGGCGTGGCTGTGAGCTGTGAGGCCAGCCAGGGCTCCCAGAGTCCAGTGTCCCACACACTGAGCACACTGCAGTGTTCCCACCACTGACACAGTCACTGGGATCAGCCTGCAGAGCGCCTCTGGGAAAGTCCAGGGAAGATTTATTTTATTGTGACTTTAATGAATTTAACAAATAAAGAAATACAAATAAATGTCTTTGCTCTGAACCACATGGATGTGTTTTGCTCCTTTGGTATTTCATAATAAACTGTATAGTATTATCCAGATGAAACCATCATTTAACAATATAATCATTTGTATAATTCATAATAGAATTATTAAATAATAATATTAATAATATAATAGTGTCAAATGAGCAGTTTATAAATCAAGTCAGTGACACTCTGTATTGATGCTGTCGTGAAGACCAAAAATCCCATGTTTATATCAAAGATACAATGATCACAAATTCTCTGGGTTTTGTTTTAGTTTAGTTTTGTTTTTTTGTTTTTTTACAAATACAGTTTGATGAACTCCTCCGGCATTTGTCAGAATGAGCTCAAGTTTGGTGAAAATGATCTAGAGGAGTAGGGACATTGTTAATCTTCTTCCTGTGGTGCTGTCGCACACTTTGCCTGAAACTTTGTAAAAACGCCTCCATTAGTGTAGCAAAGAGGAAGAGAAGGTGTGATTGTGTCTCACAGTCGACAGTGGGACTCACGTAAAGAGGGAAACTGAGGCAGCGGCCCATCATTGCTGCTTGCGGCTCTATTTATTGTCAATATTATTGTTATATTTTTGTGAAGTGTAATGTACAGACATGAATATTGAAATAAGCAGAGACGTCCCATTTGCTGGAGCTCATAGAACAAAAGACAGAGCACTTGTTGTCATGGAACATGTTTTATTCAGCCTGTGCACTGAGCAAAAGTCACACTCTACATCTGAGTCTTACTGCAGCTGTGGGATGCTCCGTGTTCAGGGCCCATGCAGCTCTAAGCAGTGGCTCTAAGCAGTGGCTCTTGTGCAGTGACTGGACGTGGACGTGTCCGTGGTGGTGCACCCTACAGGAGAACAGCTGTCCCTGCAGCCAGCTGTCCTCAGTCAGGCTCAGGAGGCTGCTGCTGCTGTACAGGCTCCACACTCCTGCTCCACGCTGCTCTGAGCCGCCCCTGTGACCAGCACCATTTAAGCAGCTTTATTCAGGAAGGAAGGAAATGTCCTCTATGTGCAAGGACTTCAAACACTCAACTTTCTACTCTCTTCACATTTCACTTCATGCTTTCAGCTTCCTGTAATATGTAACACTTTGAGACCTTTTCACATTCAAAAGACTGAGTTTAAATTGTTCATCTCTATGGTGATGGTCCGACTTCCTCATCATTCACAGATCTTCACTTCTGTCGACATAACTGTAAAAATCTGTTAAAATGAGCTAAATAAAATGTGTTTTAACTTGAGCTGTTTAGATTTCTGACTGTTTTCACTGCGTAGTTTTCTTATTTCAAAAAGATGTTATTTTGTCATTTGGTAAACACATGAA